AATTACCCGCAAAATAAGCGCGCAATCAATTGTGATGTCAATCAAATAAAATACAAATCGTTTTCATTTGGGCACAAAAAACACTTTAAGGGCAATCGATAGAGAAGTGTCTTTTGAAAGCCAATTTCATCCATTTTTGGCCTTCGCAGTTTCGTTTCTAGTTCAATTACACTTGTGGACTACTAATAACAATTCCCGGGACCCACCACCATCTTTTATTCTCGGCATGCTCGAGTGATTCCTAATGCTCTTCTTGAGTCAGACACGAGATTTTATAATAATCTTTGCAAATAGCTGACATTTCGGCAGTTCACCTTCTTCAGAGAATGGAAAGGTCTAGTTTACACAATACAATCAGTCGAGCACCTCAACTACTCTTTTAAAAAAAAGTCACCAGATTTTGATTTTAATCGCATCAAGCACAAAACCAACTTACAACATACTCACCGCTTTTTATAGATCTTCCACTAAATCATTCAAGTGGAGATCACTAGAAGGATGTCGCATAGGCTCGCAATGTACTCCACCCATCAAAGAAGTGTTTAATATAAGGCTGTTGTTTTGATGGGTGGAGTGCATACGAGCCTACGTGATCTCCTTTCGGTGATATCCACTTGAATTATTTGAGGAATATATGAAAAAGCGTTGAGTATGTTGAAAGTTGAATTTGTACTTGATAAAATTGAAGTCTAGGTCCAGTGATTTTGTTTTGAAAGAGTGACGGTGGTGTTTCACTGATTAACTTGTGGAAACTAGACCTTTCTAGGTGCTAACGAAGGCGAACTGTCAAAACGTACCATGTTGAATCTACAAAGAAATCATATAACACCTTGTGTTTGGCTCAAAGAAGGGAATCAGAAAATATACGTGTGGACCTATGAATCTAACCCTTAAGGGATTACCTTGGCGCGACTGACCTTCAGGACGGCGGGGCACAACGTTGTTTTGTTTTCATTACTAAGACGAACTATGGAAGTAATTTCACAAATTAACCTAAGTATTAGCGCCAGCATTTCCCAATCTATAGAGTAGTTATAAAAGCATGGATAAAATATGAAGAAATGTTGTTTAGCAGTTGAAAATATGTTCATTTCAGAAAAGTTGTGGCCTTCTTGTTGAACAGAAATTTTTTTCCATGAACAGATGTTCTTTTTGTTAAGTTATCTTGAAAAAAGTCTCTTTGATGCTATTCCTTCATTTAGTATCATTTAGTGATAGTACTGTTTCCCATATTACAAATTTACCGAATCAATCTGCGTAGTTCCACTGCGATGCACCCATGCGACTCAGACCCAGACGCAATGCCGCCGTTACAGCAGCAGAGCGTGACACGACGCGTAAGAGTTTGACAAAATGCTGATCCTAATGACTCAACAGTATATTTCATCAAATCGTTGGCATGTGTGATTTTTTCGTCGCCGTACTTTCACCATGCAAATAAAATCGTAGAGGATCCTCCATTAAGTTGTATCTCTGCAGGCAATCAATTAGAGATTATAGGAAATTCCCACAAACCGCAAAGCCAACGACTGCTAACGATAATTGATCAGATGTTTACTGACATGCTTTCATCTTTTGTACGGCATGTGCAGTTTCGAATATACAATGACATCTGATTTTATTCGCAGGATTTACATAGATGCGCATATATATATATATATACATATAATATATATATATATATATATATATATATATATATATATAGAGGCGCATATATGTATATCTATACGCGTACATATGTGTATATCTATGCGCATATGTATATATATATATATATATATATGTTTATATATATAAAACAAAAATGATCGGATTGGTAGGTATGTCAAATTGTAAATAAGTGAATAAATGTTTTATTAGAGAGAAGAACTATAAGACTTTGACGAAACTCATACTGTGGTTGCTGCTCCGAAGATAATAAGTGTAGCCTTTTATACGACGTTACTGATTCGATAACGTAAAACGGTTGTGGCGGGATTTGCTGTAGGTGATTATAGGCACGATATTGTGCGAAGAGACCAAAGTTTCAGTATTTTCCGACGACGCAGAATCTAAACATTTATCAAAATAAATGAAGTCTGATAGCATGTTTCAAATCTTTCAAAAGGCCTGGTTTATGGAATGTTTAGTGGTAGACGCACGTTTTGGCTTTGTCACATATCTCATTACAACCACATACTCGGTTCAACTCACATCTAGTGCTAGCGTCGCCGAACATGTACATTGCACGCAAGTGAAAAGATCATTTAATGTTGTGGTTTAGAGCATTTGTTAGTCGATGGCTCACTGTTTGTAAGATCGGCATATAACAGTAGCTTCCGACTGACTATTTTTAGACCTTGCTTAAAATTCAACATAGTCTGACAGAATGCTCTAGGCCTTTCAATTGGAACGCATTGCTAAATGCTGTTCTTACCAGCCATGAGCCATCGACTGACAATTACTCTTACGCAAAATCAAACGGTGTGTTCACTTGACGTGGAGTGATCATGGTCGACGCCGCTGCCATTTGTTGTAGGGATGAACCAAAAGGTGTGGCATTGATGAAGCTTGCGAGAAAACAAAACTTACTTCTACGAGTAGAGATGCTATATGTCAGACCTCTTGAAAGGCCTAAAACATTCTATCAAACTATATTGATTTTCAAGCGAAGTCTCGAAATAGTCGATTAGAAAATAAATAAAATAGAAATGACTGAGTTTTCAGAGAATTAGGTGGCAACCTGTAAGCAGTGTGACGCATGCGCTTCATGTTTTCATCTTACGTCCTCAAGTGTGCAACCGTCAATAGCAAAGCCCTTTGTGTAGTCTTCAAGCATCACATCAATCTTAGATCCAACTGGCGCCTTAGAGCACTCCTGTGTCATTATTGAAATTCTTTTACTATAGTGGAAATTCTGTTACCTTAATCCAGTAGTTACACATGGTGAAGTCATCGCTTGTTGCTCCACACACTGTGTCACTGAGCGTCTAGAAGGAGGCGGTTGCCCTCAGCGTCTTACCGCAATCTGCTGGCTGAAAAATATGATTACTTCATTTCTGCTTCTCAAAAAAGATATGATTTGAATAAAAAAGCTTCTTACTCTTTTATTACAGAGCCTTCTACCATAAAAACTAAATAAATACATTGAGAGCAGTTTCTAGGATGAGGAAACCCGCTGTTTTCGCATGTGGCCGAGAATCCTGTAGTGCAATTATCTAGATTGATCTAAAGATCAGCTAAAATATTGAGAAAAAAAGGGCAGAAATCAGAAGCTGATATGACATCCCACCGGTGCACCTATAGTGTATGTCGATCATAAGCTTCTCGTAAAATGAAATTGTTGGTGACTCCAAAGGTTCGTATGTATTTTACATATCGTGGTACCATAATAGGTTGAGCGTTTCTCGAAACACTGTAATTGTTTTGTTATACGCAACGACGAGCTAATATGTGTGCCCATGGGTTGTGCTTACCTCGTCACTCCGTAATGCATAACACTTCTATAATCGTAGGTCAGCATATAGTTGTAGTTGGTTCTTTCACTTTGTTTTCTGACTCCTTGCTAGCTATTCACATTGCTAGTTAATTCCAGGGTTACCGTGAAATTTTGAGTATATAGTGTGATGAAACTGTCACGATCGTGTCTTGAGTGAGTGTGGAAGAAACCCAAAGCGTGGCCAATTTCGTGAGCAGCAGTCCCAACCTGCAGACGCTTTTAAGCATAGAACGGAGAGAAATAATTTCGACGTTTACCGATTCGCATCAGTTCCTAAGTGAGAGTCCCTGTACTCCTCCAACTCCTCCCACCATTGACCAGCATCCACTTTCGCCAATGAGGATGACTCTATCAGGTGTTTAAAATTTCATTACGAAATTAGAAAGTTGAGAAGATTCAGCAAGTTTGACCACATTTGTATTGGTTTCCGAGAAATTGACACAGGTTGCGCTTCGCCAAGCCTCCGCAGCCCTGGTGAATACTCTTCTGGCATCATCAGCTGAATTCCTCGGTTAGCTTTATATGGCTTGCCTCCTAGTATACTTGAACTACAAGAAGAAATTCGAAAAACGAACTTACGCTTGAATAAAAAGAGTAATACACTCCGTCTGACCACACGGTTGTAGGATAGTTATAGTCACGGCATGCTTGTCGTTTGTTGCGATTCTTTCGTTCTCCTTAATGTCTTCAATTACCTTTTCGATTTAATCTCTTCAGAAGACAAGAGACAATGCAACATGGCTGTGGAACCTACGAATGAACAAACGTAGTGACGAACATGTCCACCTGAAACAACGCAGTGTCCACATTACATTTGTGATTGATTTCCTCGATTGCGTTTACCCTTTTGTTTGGTTGGATATGATCCTTTTTGATTCCGACGTAGTCCTGAAGCTTAACATTACTCCTCAGTTGACCCCTACAAGTAAGACCATATGCTTTCCTTCACTCCTTTCAGTAACACAGCGTGCTCTGCGGATAGAGTCACTTCATCGTTAATTTCATCGTCCATATTTTGTAGCTGTGCAAGAAACCTCTTTATAGCCAGTATATTCTATTCTCTAAAAAAGATGATTGCATGTAGAATATAATGCTACTGTTTCGTTTGCATATGTTGCGTTATAAATATGAGACTTCACGTTTCTGACCACGCTTAATCCCTCATTTAGAATTTTTCAGAAGCACTCACAGTGGTGGACCATCCATTACCCGTTTCTGAGCTGTCTATTGCTTCTGAGTCTACAATGCTGGCCAATAATGCGCACTAGAAATTTCATCCGTAAACATCGAATAGAAAGGAGGAAAGCAATTTGAGAGGTGAAGAAGAGAAGGAGAAGCTTAACATATCGTAGATTCATTTACCATGAAGAGTAATTTGGCGCTTACCATTCAGAAAATAACAATTTCAACAACAACCAAGGTGATTTTTATTCGAGAATTCTAATATTTTTACTGCTTCTTTCGCAGTGTTATGATGTCTAATATATACCTATGCCAATTGAATAGTGAGTATAAATACGATCTCAGACGAGAGTCGAACCCGCGTTTCATCCATACCGGAGATGCGTGCTACCACTACGCCGCAGAGGTACAGTTGCGCCACCACTTATTTTTCAATATCTCTATGTTAGCTGTCAGCCACCAACCTTCTACAGGTTTGGTTGGATATGCGTTTTTGCTTCATTAAACCCAGTCAAACTGACAGCCACTGGTAAATTTAATAATCAAGAATTCTAATATTTATTTCTGCTTCTCTCGCAGTGTTATGATGTTTCATATAAACCTAAGCGAATTGAGGAGAGTGGTGAGCAAAAATGCGACCTCAGGAGGGAGTCAAACCCGCGTTTCATCCGTACCCATTATTCATTAACGACAGTTAATCATTATTAAGCTGTCGCCTCACCACGGCTACGTGTTTCTAATTTCATTTGCAATCTTTAGAGATGTGCTCAATCCCATTATAGAACCATCCTGAGGTGGAAGGGAGTTTGTCAAATCACTCAAAAGTTGACCTATTCAAGATGAAGCCTTTTAGCGGTGTGCGCGACATTATTCTAAAAATGTGTTTTGAACTATTGTCTACATAGTTGATTGATCAGCAGTTGACTATTGTGATTAATATCACACAAAACACTGATGGAAATAAGATGACTAGCTAATTTAAACGGCCATAATCACCTAGGCAGAAAGTCCTTTTATACAGTAAGTCCAAATACAACGAAGAGCATGTTTATACAGAGGTAACGTGCAATGGTGCATAGTCGAAGGTGCACCTTCAAACATGGTTAATCAGCTGGCTTCAGAAACGATGGATGAGATCCGGTCAACGGTCACGACAGCTCAGCAGCGATTTGAACATGCCATCATATGAGTTTGAAAAGTGAAAAAAGAGAAGGCTAGAGATGAAATTGAAGTTAGCTTTTACGGGAAGACGTCGCTCATGTCAGTCAGACGAGGTCGAACTAGTAGTAACGTTCAAACCCTGAGTTAGTGCAGTGCAGTTCATAGTAAAATAATTAACCCAATCAGACTACATCCTTATTTCGAGTGTTTTATCAAGACCGCGCTCAAATATTGCTAGATCCCTTCATTCTTCTTTGAGCAAACATGTCTGTGGTCTGTCTATGGTTCCTGTACAGCCCGATACACGTGTTTCGTCCTTACAGACTCGTCAGCCGGGCAGAGCCCGTCTCCTTTCAATCTTTTTTAAGTCAGTTCCGGGAGCCTGCTCGCCCTGCACAGAGGTATCGAAGACGAACGTTATACACTCTATGTCAGTGAAATTTTCACCTAACACAGGGTGTTGTACACTCGGCTGTTCAATCAGAATTTATAATTACAAACTGTTGTGTTCAAGGAAAGTATTAATGTCTTACCAAGTGGAGAATCAGTCTTCCGCGAGCTCATTACAGCTGCTTTCTCTAATACCTGATAATTATCCATTTGCTTAAATACATCCCACCCTATCTCACAAATATATAAACATTCTTAAATTGGAGTCTACGTATTGAGCTTTTGACAAGGCTTACGTAATGGAGTCCTTTGACGTTACTGCGCTTGTCCACAAACGCGTCCGAATGACTCCGCAATACAAACCATTTATTACCTCCTCATGGAACATGAAGAACTTGCTAATATATATGCTTGTCGACTCAGCAGCCAATGGAACTTCTAGAAGAGTGGCCAAACTGCTCAATTTTCACATAATTTGAATTCATTTGCACAAAAAGAGGGCTGGCAATGCATCAGCCATTAGCTTCAATCGTGCTAGGTTATGAACCTGTGAACACTTTCGTCTCATGGAAGACGGGATAAGCTCTTATTCTTCTTGTAAGATTACCTATGACTTCCAGAGTTTTGAATTTGTGAATAAACAAGTGTGACAAAATTTCATTTAAAATTTAACTGTCTGCAGTCGTGCTAGCAAATTTTTCTCTATGTCCCTCAATTACTATTTTGTCTTCCAAATTCTGCACTACGACATGTTGCAGGTAATTACTAATTCTTGCATTCGTTGGCTAGATATCTGCAATGCCTCTGGTGGCAGCTGGTTAATTCTTACCAAAGTTGGAACTTCGAACCTGCGTCATATCTATTTTACAACCTTTTGTTCCTCCCGATTTTATCTCCTGTGCAAACAATCCACCATGATCCAGAGTTGTCGCTATTGCTCAAAAATGTGCCGAGTCGAATCAGAGATGTGAAGTCGAACGTTCTCCTGGGAATCGACGACACATAGTCGTTCGAACGCTTTTCAGGCGCTGCTGCGACCAACTTGCGGAGTTCCCAGCTGAATGTCAACATGGAATATAAATTTATTGTTGGACAGTTTTCGAACAGAATGCTATGCCACTTGCACGAAACTGAAAACATAATCCTGCAAACACGAAACTTGGTTTTGGCTGAGCTGGCGGGTTTTTTGCCGCGAGGCAACCACTCGGCGCGGCGGGTGTTGCTCTCATGGTAGATCCAGGACTCATCTCCAGTGTGATGATTGACTTCAGAAAGTCCTGGCTTTGTGGTCAAAGCAGAAGACTCTTACAGATAGTCACGCGTGCAGATTGGTAAGCGTCTAGTCTTTCAAGGCATCCTTTTGTCCAGCTCAATCATTTAAATGGAGAGCGATGATGTTATGACCGTATCCAAATGTCTAGCTGAAACTACTGGTACATTCTCAGATATGAAAGCCTATCGGCAACAACCTAATTTGAAAGAATGGGTTTCAAAGGATTTTGGGGCACTTGTAAGAAATTGAAAACTTCTGCATGAATTCCAAACAAAAACAATAATAACTATTCTTTGAAATGAAGATCATTGTTTTCTATGACTTTCTGTCATCGGTCCGCCAAAAATCGGATCTGATCGAAGTATTATTCCTTCGACTTCAAATTAAAGAACTCTTGACATGCTTCTTCACTTGTGCTTCAGAGATTTCGAGCGGATTTTGCGGTCAAGTTCAAGCTGGTGGAGACGAGTTATCACAGTTGCATGAGAAACATCACATTCGGTTCCCAATTCGCAAGCACTTGACGACGGCACATAATCCAAAGCAGCAATTAAATCTCAGTTGTTCAACGGTGTTGGAGGTTCTGAACGAGGCTTGTCTTTGAGGTCAACATCTCCTGCATTGAAGCGTTGAAACCAGCGTCCAGCAGCACATTTTCTTGTTGTGTCTTTCCCTTCAACTTCGTTGATTTCATCGACTGCTGCTCGCTGTGAAAGACACTTTCTCCAATAATGACGCTAAAAACACGAATTTTCATTGTGCCGTTGGACATGGCGGAGGCTTCAACAAAGTCAGAATAAATACGAATCATATCTAGGCTTTCAGCGGGAAAATCCTACATAGGAAGCTGTAGTACTCCTATGATATGCATGGGAGTTATCTCGTGCTTATTAAAGCGCCCCAGAACCTTCCCAACAAAATATAAAGGAACTAAATAAATCAGCAATGAGAAAGAAATCATGGGACTACTTAGTGTATTATATGTGCACGCATGCATGTATGTCCAGTTCTATATCTGATAATTCTAAGCTGTGAATGTGTCCTTATAGTCGTGCCTCAATAATGAAGTTGAGGTCCATTACAAACAAATTACTTTTACTGACATGTCACACGGTGTCAATGTAAGGACTGATCCTTCTTATGCCTTAATGCTGTCTGTCATAAGCATCGGTGAACAAAAAGAATCGTCTTTGCGAGAACAAAAGCACTTCGCGTTTCTAGGGAGCGCATATTTGTAAACTTGGACTGTATACGTGTTTCTATGAGTATTTGCTAGACCCATCGCGAATCAAAACAAGATTTCAACAAGTATTCTTGGATTGGCACATTTCAGTCTAAAATAAGATATTTTCATTTGAGAGAAAACTGTCTAAATTTCAAACTTTTGCCAGTGAATAAATCTATATAAGCGTAAATGTTCCAATTGCATAAAATTCTGGAGCATCAGAGATGATGAAGCCTCAGAAGTTAAATTTATCTTCGATCTGATTTGCGAAGCATTTTTTGGGGGAAGTTATCAAGATAATGAAAGATACTGTAGACAGTAGGCGATTTGCAGGGTGATAAGGATAGGGCAGAGTTTTAAAATCCTAATTATTCGTCCTTTTCATCGTTAGTGGTGTGTTTTTGACTTCTCCGTCATCCCACATGTTAAGGTTTCTCGGATTTCTACATGCATTGTAGGGTTGACATGCTTTCACCATTCTTTTCTGCAAGTGTTTGAGCAGTAGTAATTACATTTTTTGAGTCAGTTAGGACAGTGCACCAAAATATGACAGATAGTTTGGTGAAATACGGTCTGTTTCAGTTGGCGGTCCCGATTCGTCACTATAGCAATGTGGATTGCTCGTCTTCGTAGAGTTGGAATATTAGTATTTCAGCTGCTTCTTTGGCCAATTCATAGACTTCGAGTTTCAGTCTTTGACGAAGAGAATTCAGTTTGCTAAAAAAATTTGGCACACTCATTAAATTCATTGCTTTTGATTAGGCAAAATAGATGGCACTGCTAATTTTAGGAACTATGGAATTACGTAACTTCATTAATAAAACAGTTCAAAGTGATACTTTTGCTGTAAATTGAAATACTCGGAAAAATTCGTACGCTAAAACAATTACTATTTTTTCAAAAACTGGGGTTACTATTTTGAACACCATACAACCTCCTCAGCTTTCTCAACAATTTCCTTATCAGACTGCTTCGACTGAACCAGCAAAGATGCACCTATACTGAAATGCAGTAAAATCATCCTACAGTCGGAGGAGAACGGTGAGTTCGAGCAGTGAGAAAACGGACGTATAGGATCAGCTGCTTGCTACGGTTTTTTATACATCGTCTGACATAGGTCGTTCTTGTGCAAATTTTGACAACCTGGCATTATTGCTTTACTGTTGACGTATCCAGTGACTTTTAAGTGTACTCTTTACAGCTTATGAGATGACTATTGATCAGTTTTTCTTATTTTATTAATCTATATGGTCTTGATGAATCTTAACAACACCTCGTATACACTTAATGTGAATGCTTATTCAAATGGACAAATGGTGGCTCTTATATAATGACCTACGCAGCAGCCACATATGCCCA